GGGCGTGCTTGCTTTATGCCTAGGTGGAAACAATTTGTGACTGGCTTCTTGGCAACACAAGCCACACTCCTCTGTTTGGTTGTCAAGACCCTGCACGGCTGAGCCTACTTACTGCTTTTTTGTTTCAAAATGTTTTGGACATTGGAAACGATTGTGAGCCAGGTGGTCGTTTGACTGGATGCTTTAACATTCATCACCTTATTTAACTCTCGCCTCAGTCCTAAATCATAGTAATTCTCATACTACCACTGGTAGATGAAGAAACCGAGGCTCAGGGAGGTCAGCTCGGCCCAGGGGCTGCAGCTGAGCAGGGTCAGAGCCCAGCTCGGTGTCCAGCACCCCCCTCCACACCACCTCCATAGCCTCTGTTCCACCTGTCTCATCCGTTCCCAGGGGCCGCAGCCACACTGCTCATTCCCACTGGGGCCTTTGCTCCAAGCGGGCTCCTGTTAGTCAAGTCTCAATCTCCAAGCTGTGTCCTGGCCCTGGTCATTTCTCCTGAAGTGCACACAGAGAGCAGCCCCAAAGGCCAGGAGAAGGTGAGAGCGTTCTAATTACTTCTGCTGAGAGTTATGGCCCCTGGAACATCAAGGGAGTTGAGAGCAGCATCTCCTGCAAGACCCTCGTTTGGGTTCTGTGTCATCCTTTACTTTTATGCTTTAGCATAAGGGTTCAATACAACTCTTACCTGAGACAACAGGGCCTTACCTGAGACCCAGATAGAAGTGCAGACTCAAGCCCCACTCCAGATCCCTTGAGTACGAATGTGCATTTTAGGAAGACGTCTCAATGGTTCAGAGCCTGACATGAACGCTGGTGGTGCCCTGCTCTAACTGGTTTGTTCCCTGCACACCCAGTGCCCCAGATCCCAGGCCAGGCACCTCTCTGCCTCCTCTCTGACCATGCTGGTTATGGGCCCTCTCTCCTCTGTGTCCCTGGCAGGGTGGCGAGGGCACATTGGAGATGGCGCCCACCCTTCCTCCCTGGTGGCCTTTCAGCCCCTGCTCAGGTCCCTGCGCTATAGCTGTGACATACCCCTCCCAATCCTGATATCTTTCTCAGAACCCTCCTTGTCTGACCCTGGAACTGGGAGCCATCTCAGCCCGGAGGAAAGACAGGATGATTGGTCCTTAGGCCCCCTGTCATGAGCTTGTCATAAGCTTTGGTGGGGGGGTAGCCCCACCTGGCTAGCAGAAGAGGCACTGCCTTTCTAAGGAGCTAGGGCACGGTCATCTGAGGTGGCAGCCAGGTAACCAGGTATCTGACTGAGAATGAAGCTGAAAGCACAGGCTTCCTCCCCATCTGCTGATTACACACCTTGCCCCTAAGAAAAGCGTAAGCGGGCACTTCCTGCAGGCCGACCTCTCCTCCCAGAGCTCAGCGCTTCCCTTACCCGGGGTGGCGCTTCTAATGAATGGGTATGGCTGGGCTGAGCATGCTGTGAGGGATGAGAAGGAAATCTGGCCCATTGAGCAGGATTCAAGATGGGAACTCAGATTATAGGCTTCATAATCACAGCTTGGAAGAGAAGCTTTGTGCGTAAAGGGAACCCAGGAGGAAAGTATTTCATGCCTTTTGGAAACCTTTCAGCAGAGATTCTCCAAGCAAGATAACTGACCACAGAACCCTAGTCTTGCTTCTTTATTATTCTTTATTTTTATGCTGGCTCAGGAGGCGAAGGGCTCCCAAGAGCTCCTGTGTATGGATGGCTTACCATAAATGCGCTCTCTCACTGCGTCCTGGAACCACCCTCTTCTCCCAGTTCAGGCCGAAGCCCAGACGTACGGCCAGTAGGAGGCGGTGTCCACACTCAGCTCTGGTCTCAGTCTCTGTCCCACTGTGTTCTCCTACCTCGTGGTAGAGCAAGTGGGCTGTGTGAGGACTTCTCGGAGTTCCATTTCTCAAATAGAAGACATAGGCTCCTTTTGGCAGAGTTCACGCTTTTGCTGTAAGAATGTGGGTTCATGTATACTTGGTAAATGCCATTCAGACTGCTGTCCCTCCGCTTGGGCCTCTGTTCCCCTCCTCCTCTCATCCACCTCCACGCCCTCTCCTGCATAGAGTCCAGGATGCCAGCTGAAGCCCAGCAGATGTCACTGTGAAAAGAAAACACGAGAAAAGCAAAGCCAACTGCCTTGCAGTGCTTATTAGTGCGTGAACACAATGATGCCCTTGATGGTTCTCAGAGGAAGGGGCATGCAGGCCAAGTCCACGCCGCCATGTGAACTTACCTCCACACAAAGGTCCAATTGAAATGAGATGTCCATTTATTGGGGGGAAACTTGTCCTCTGTCAACCATGATGATCTGGGGGGAGAACAGATAGCCATACAGCACATGGGCGAGTCCTTCTCACCCGCGCGCACACTCCCACAAAGCCCAGTGCTGACGCTAGGGAATGCAAACTCTTCTGTAAGCAACAGGCTTCCTTCCTTTCTTCTGCAGCCAGCTGTCCTGGTCTCCAGTAGCTATCGTAGTTCATTACCACTAGCTTTGCGGCTTAAAACCATGCACATTTATTATTTTCTGGGGCTCAGAGTGTGAGATCGAGGTGTCAGTCGGGCTGCATTCCTTCCTGAGGCTCTAAGGGGAGAAGCGATTTCTTTGTCTTTCCTGTTTCTGGAAGCTCCTTCCCCACCTTCCTTGGGTGGCCCTCAGCAGGGACCAGTGACCTCCCTGTGACCTGTGCTTCAGTGGTGCCATCTCTTTCCATTCTACCTCCATCTTCCGTCTTCAATGGCCCTGGTGATTACACTGGGCCCACCTGGATAATCTGGGCTAATCTCCCTATTTTGAGATTTTACCTTAATTCATCTGCAAAATGACTTTTGTGGAGTAACCTATTCACAGGTTGAGGGGATCAGGTTGCAGACATCTCTAGGGGGCTATTATTCTGCCTACCACATCAGCATGGGCCTTTTTAAAGGCAGATAACTCCATGGTGTTTGCCCAAAGTCCCAGAAAGTAAATGAGGAGAAGAGGGAGAAGAGGTTGCAGCTCGGCCATCCCCCACTTGGGAGGTGATTTCTCACTTTCCTCTCTCTCTCTCTGGCAGGTGCATGCACCAGTGGCAAAAACCTAAAAAAATAACTTTAAAGGCTTTATTAATTAAGCATAAGATACAAGCATGTTTTCATCATTCACCTCACCAATAAAAGGACAGTAGTTTGTTTCAAATATGAAAATTGAAACAAAGTTTGAAGTTGAGAGCTGGAAATTAAGAAAGAAAGGATGGGAGGAAGAAAAAGAGAACTGCAAAATACATCTCAAAAAAGTCCATAGAGAGATCAGCAGATGATATAATGTTTATGTCACTGGACTTCCACATGTTGACTGTGGTTCAAGCCCCGGACACAGTGGCTTCAAACTCACTCTGGGCATGTGTGCATCCATGCCCAAAGTCCTGAGAGGAAAATGGAGGAGAAGGAATTTGGGCATGGTCATTCCCCCAGGAGGTGATTTCTAGCTTTCTGTCTTTCTCTGTCTCTCTCTAGCAAGTGCACACACCCTATAGCAAACATCTCTCAAAAAAAAGAAAACGTCTATAGAAACACGCAAGTTGAGAAGCAGAGCTTGCAGGGCGGGGTGGGGCCAGGCGAAGGGAGGGTGGCGGGCAGGAGGGTATCACAGGTGGAGGCAGCAGCATGGCGAAGGCCTGCAGGCAAGGTGGCGCCATAAACAGCTCAGCAGTCCTGGCACTGTCCCAGTGTCTGGAGGTTTGCAGTTTGACCTTCCTTGGTAGACTCTGAGTCCCCTGAGGACAGGGGCAGTCCCTTTACTTCTGAACCCCTCTGAGGGCTTAGCAGGCTAACCACTGCGAGCCTCAGCCAGCCTCAGCCAAGGGGGTTCGAACCTTGCAGTATCCAGGATCAGTTGCACGAGCCCCTGTCTTCTCAGAGTCTACCCCTATTCTACTCTCGAAGCCCGATGTCTGCTCTGTAGCTGTGGCTCTCCCAGCCTCCTCGAGGCTCTGTGGTGACTTCTCTCAGAACCCTCAGTGGGTGACCAAGTCCTCCAGGCCGCAGTGAGGATTAGGATCAGGATTTCCCTGATCCCTGTGTTCCCTCTATGTTCTGAACCTTTGCCTCATAGGCCTCTCTGGTGGACCCAGCAGGTGACATGGTGGTTAAGGGTGCTGAACTTCCACATGGCAGTTCAAGTCCCAGACCTGGCGGCTTGTTTTCTCTCTCTCTCTCTCTCACACACACATTCACACTCTGTCCCTCTGTTTTCAAATGAACTAAATAAAGTAAATAAAATAATTCTTTTCTTAAAAGAAAAGACCTCTCTGGCCATAATAAAACTCTAATTTCTACTATTCAACATGGTCCTTTTCTTCTCGACTTCACTATCTATCACCTCCAGTACCTCACGCTTAAAATAATGTTCAAAGAGAGACCACTGTAGTGTCCACAGCAGGCTGCGCGTGCACACTGAAGAGAGCGCAGGACGGGCGCTCCACATCTTGCCTGGGAATCTGGGGTCACCCACACCCACTCATTGTCGTGGCTAACTTCCAACAGCGTCAGTTATGACAAATACACACACACACGCATGTGCACACACATGTAACTCTCAGTCTCAGTGCTTAAATGGATCCGTATTTCCATTTTCATGAACTCTAAAGTTTCCCGTTTCTGACTCCTCAGGCCTGTTTCTTCCCTTGGAATGGGTCTGATCATCGTACTTCCGAACTTCCACATGGCAGTTCAAGTCCCAGACCTGGCGGCTTGTTTTCTCTCTCTCTCTCTCTCACACACACATTCACACTCTGTCCCTCTGTTTTCAAATGAACTAAATAAAGTAAATAAAATAATTCTTTTCTTAAAAGAAAAGACCTCTCTGGCCATAATAAAACTCTAATTTCTACTATTCAACATGGTCCTTTTCTTCTCGACTTCACTATCTATCACCTCCAGTACCTCACGCTTAAAATAATGTTCAAAGAGAGACCACTGTAGTGTCCACAGCAGGCTGCGCGTGCACACTGAAGAGAGCGCAGGACGGGCGCTCCACATCTTGCCTGGGAATCTGGGGTCACCCACACCCACTCATTGTCGTGGCTAACTTCCAACAGCGTCAGTTATGACAAATACACACACACACGCATGTGCACACACATGTAACTCTCAGTCTCAGTGCTTAAATGGATCCGTATTTCCATTTTCATGAACTCTAAAGTTTCCCGTTTCTGACTCCTCAGGCCTGTTTCTTCCCTTGGAATGGGTCTGATCATCGTACTTCCTCAATGATTACCGTGACGTCACGTAGCCTATCCTCTGTAAAGTGCTTAGCACAATGACTAGCACTGAGTGCATATTCAGTAAGGTTAGCTTTTGACTTTGTGCTTAGTGTTACTGTGACAAATGCATGTGATGTCCGTGGGCACACACGACAGCACAGTCAGTCCTCAGTCTATGTGGGGGGTCGATCAGGACCCCCGAGGATACCGAAATCCACGTATGCTCACGTTCCTTGTGTAAAGTGGTGTATGTTTGCGTACAACCAACACGTCTCCTCCCATAGAGTTTAAGTCATCTCTAGATTACTTGTACTGGGTGGTCAGAAAAGTCATGACACATTTTCGCATAGAAAAAAACAGAGAAAATATGTCATGACTTTTCCTACGACCCAGTGGCCCCTAACACAGGGTAAAAGCTATGCAAATAGTTGTTAGACTGGGCTGTTGAGGGAATGATGACCAGAAAAGCAATTGTCCATGTTCTGTCCAGACACAGCCAACATCACCGTAGGCCTAGCTGCAGCACACGTCAGCACCAGTGTGACGCTTTGGTCTGAGGTTGGCTGGATCCACGTGTGCAGAACCCTCAGATAAGGTGGGCCGACTGTGGATCAGATATTTCGGAGTGATACAACGAGGCAGTTCTTGCAGGGGCAGCATTGAAGGTGGCGATGAATTGCTCCGTGTCCTGTCACCCAAGGTATTGTGAGCTTCATCGTAAGAGCGTTCATTTATTGAGAGGCTGTGGTGTGCTGGGCACTGTGCTTCACGTACTCATTTAACCAAGTCTTTGCAAAGCAACCATGTAGGGTAGGGTTATTTTGTTTTTCAGAGAGCTGAAGTTGTAAGTCCGTGAGCTGGAAGGTCCAGCTGCCTCTGTATCCTCTGATGGGGATCCCCCCTATACCCTGTACCCAGCCCCCATGCCCAGCCCTGTAAGCAAAGCTCTGGCCTTCCCCTACCATGCTCTGAGCGGTTTGTTTTCATGGTCCCTTCTTTATCTGACAGCCCACACACAGCTACACAGCTTAGGGGCGTGTCTCCAGGCTGCAAAATTGTTACAAGCAGCACACAGTGGAAACATTGGCAGGCTTTTCCCCCCACCTTTTTCCAAAATACAACTCTCCAGGCTGTGTGAGTATGTGTCCACATGGAGTCCTACATGTCAGTGTCAGAGTCCGGAAGCCCAGGGCACAGGGTATCTGAGTATTTATGTGTTTGTGTTTCATTGTGAGCTCACCTCTCTATCGGAGTTCAAAGATAGCCATTTCTGCCTTAGAGAGAGAGAGAGAGAGAGAGAGAGTGTGTGTGTGTGTGTGTGCGCGCGCGCGTGTGCGTATGTGTGGTACTTGCAGATCTCTGACTGCTCTCCCCCAACCAGTGTGCACAGGCCTGCTCTTCCCTGTGTGTGTGCATCGTTACATTGGTAAGCCTGGGTACGTGCCTGCTCTGTCCCAAGGGTGTCCATGACACAAGTAAACTATCCTTCACTTCTGTTGTTGAGACTCTCCTAGGACACTCTGCCCCGATGGAGCAGGGAGAGCTGGGAAGGGGAATGTTTAGTCTGGAAGGCAGACGGGCAGGCAGCTGAGACGCCCTGAGGAGCACCCAGGCCCCAAGCTGGACCCCAGGGCTGCTCCAAGTACCCTGGATGGTGGGAGGACCAGGCCTACTCAGCATGCCCTGGCTCGGGGTGCAGGACACTCCTGCTCAGGCCACTTTGGAGCCAAATGGCTCCCCTGGAGTAAGTATTGAGAGGGCTCTAGGCCTACCCAGCCTCATCAAGACGGTCTCTTTATCTCTCTTGGTTCTTTTCAGTTCTCGGAATAGGTTTTCATGCTGAACTGAGGCTGAGGCACCAGCATGGAGATGTGGAAAGAGCATGAGGCTTCCATGTCGGGCAGGCCTCAGGCTGCACTCCGGTTTTGTTGTGCGCTAATCATGTCACCTTGGAACAGAAACACTTACTTCTAAGCCTCCATCTCCTCTGCAAAATCGGTTTCCTAATACTATCCTGCAGGCCAATTTAGGGGCCTTAAATGGTAAAATCTGTACAAAGCGCCTCGTAGGTTTTCTGTCACCTTTTCTCCCTTTCCGTGGAGTCTCCAGGTAATTCAGCTTTCTGGCCGAATCAACAGGGTGCCACCTTGTATTTCTAGGAGATCTCCAGCGTTTGAGTACCCAGTCAGGGAGAGGAGCAGGAAGGAGCTCAGTTTGCACATGGTTTCTCCTCGCTTGCTGTAACTGGAGGTAATCCTCATATCCCATTTTAGTGGGTCTTTAGAGGGCATTTCAGGAGGACTGCGGCAGCTGGAAGGGTGGGGGTGGAAATTCTGGAAAAGTATGCACCTGCCTTCCAGTAGGTTCGTAAGCTGGTGACCAGCCCCCGGGGTGCACCTGCCATGAGTAGGTTAGCAGTGGGGGACAGGCTGCTCCGTGCTTGGCCTTACAGCACTCTGACACGTGTCAGGCGCTGGCCGAGGTGGTGGAGATCCTGTCCTCAGCCAGATGGACACAAGCCTGACCTCGAGGAGCTTCCGCTCTGAGAGGCAGAGACCCAAAAATAAATGCATGAGCCACGAAAATTCGCATTAGCCTGTTCCCAGACATTACATGCGATGAAGAAGATTCAGTAGGTCAGTTAGGACAAAAGCACATGGTGAGGTGGGAGGGTGCCACTTAGGGGGTGGTCCTAGGAAGACTTCCTGAGGAGACATCTGTGGTTGAGTGATAAGAAAAAGAAAAACGAAAAACAAAAACCAATCATGGGAGGGAGGACCTTCCGACCAGACCCCCTCCCTTCAGATTTTAAGCGTGCGTCTCTTTATTCACTTACGTATTTACTTATTGCCGAGTGGGTACGTGCGTTCACCAGAGAGAGACAGAGAAAGAGAGAGAGGGAAAGCATCCCAGGGGTGGGCACATGGTAATCCTCTTTCCTCCATTCTCCTTCCCGTCGGGAGGCAGAAGGCACCTAAGGGCTCCCGAGAACCATAGAAAATCTGAGAAAGGCACTTTTGGAGAAGGGAAAGGGACAGAGATAGGTGGAATACAACAGAGGATGCCTGCTGTGGGACCGGGAGGAGAGACAGCTGCTTTGGCCAGAGCAGAGGCGTTGGCGTGGCAGGAAGAAGAGAGGAAAGGAGTGCACACACACACCTGCCCACATTCTCAAAGTCAGTCTCAGGTGTCTATCCGCATAAGCGCATTGATTTTTCTATGGTCCCGAGTTCACATCCCGTCTCTGCCCTTTGCTCAATATGTGATCTCAGGCAAATTACTTATCGTCTCTGTGTCCTGTCTCTGACCCCAGGTTACATATTCCCTGCTGTGCAGGACTGTTGTAGGGCTCACATGTGATCATTTAATTAGTAAGAACATAACCTTCGAAGTTAGACCCAAGTCCAAATTCTTGTTCCAACTTTTGAGAGCTGTGTGTTTTTTTGGAAAGTGACCTAAGCTCCCTGATCTTCAGTTTCCACCTTATAGTATCATTCTGGAGGTTAAATGAGGTAATAAGTCAAAGCGTCACATGTACCATCACCATCTATGACAGGAAAGGGTTGGCACATGGCCTGGCACGTGGTAGACCCTCCAGGGTGACAGCAGTTTGAGGAAGGCAAGGCTGACTGACGTGAGAGGGTCATTGGAGGTCACGAGATCCATGTGCCTGTGGGGCTAGGCCAAGGATCCTTTGGCTTTGGGGCTGTGCAGGTCAAGGAAGTGGAAGTAAAGGTCCCTGGTCACTGGTCACCGAAGCTGCAGTGTGACCTCGTCAGTCCCAGCAAAGGAGAGCAATGTGTGCAGAGGCCGGTGTGCCCTGGACTTTTAAGGGAGGCCTTTTCTATAGTGGGAAGATTGGTCACCAGCGTGTCTGAGTTCCCTTCCGGCGGTTACAGCCCCCAGCTCCAGGGCTTTCCAGGAGACAGCCTAGGAAGGAAGGCAGGAAGCCTGGTAAGAGACTGTGTCCCCTCCTGGGCCTCAGTCTCCCATCTGTGCTCTGACGGTGATGAGCTGGGCCTGCCTGCAGGGTGAGAGCTGAGACTGTCCAGCCAGGGAACCTGGTTCTAGTCCCAGCTCTACCACTCATTGGCTGTGCCATCCTGGAAAAGTTTTCAAACTGAGTCTCAGTTTCTTTTCTTTTTATTTTGGAGAGGTTTTTGCTATAGGACACGTGCACTTGCCAGAGAGACAGAGAGACAGAGAGCAAGAAATCACCCCTCAGAGGGGATAGCCATGCCGTAGTCCTTCTCCTCCATTCTCCTCTCAGGATCTTGAGCACACATGCACACATGCCCAGTGTGAGTTTAAGTCACCGGGTCTGGGATTGAACCGTGGTGGACTACATGGGAATCCAGCAACATAACCATTACGCCAACTGCTGGTCTCGAGCCTCAGTTTTCCTGTCTGCCAAAAAGAAATCCTGATGGTCAGGGCTGCGGGAGGCCTCCCGAGCGGCTCACATGCGGTGCTGCCCAGGGCCAGGGAACTGGGCAACAGGGAGGAGCCCCTCTGGAGCCAGGGAGTCTCCCTCCCACTCTGCCCCCGAGGTTTGGCTCCCTGATCCTCCCTGTCCTGGTCAGGGAGCGCTCACAGCCCAAGGCGGCCCGGGAGTTGGACTTGTTGGGCGGGAGAGGAGCCAGTGGACATTATGTTCCTTCCCAGGAATGGGAAAGTGGGATCGTTCCTGCAGGGAGCAAGCCCGAGGCGAGCACTCCCAGAGCATCCACCCTCCCCACTGCCCAGAGCTTGTGGGGCAGAGACGTAGCAGCAGGGGTGGCCGGGCTGCCTGGGGCCCCGGCCTGACAGGGCACACATGCACAGAGCACACGGTCCCATGCCCAGACATCCCCACAGTCCTGTCCACATGGTGACACAGACACACACATGGGGATCTCATGCACTCCCACCTCCAGCTTCCCATGTGGCCATGTGTTCATCCATACACATGTAGCCCATAGATTCCAAAGTCCAGCCCACACACGTGCACTCCTGCATACGCTCCGTTCCTGTACACACACCCCTAGCCACAGATGAGACACAAATAATGCAGGTATTCACGCAGTCACGCGGGTGCTGACACTCACGAACACACGTGTAAACAAGCATACCGGGAACCAGCAGTTAGCATAATGGCTATGTCGCTGGACTCCCACATAGTCGACCGCGGTTTGCGTCCCGGACTCGGTGGCTTAGAACTCACACCGGGCGCGTGTGCGTGCGTGCCCAAGATCCCGAGAGGAGAATGGAGGAGAAGGGATTGCGGCATGACCATCCCCCCTGGGGGGTGATTTCTCGCTTTCTGTCTCTATGTCTCTGTCTGTGTGGCGAGCACACATGCCCTATAGTGAAAACCTCTCCAAATAAATAAATAAATAAATAAAAAACAAGCATGCCCCACATGCACACACGTGTACAACACGGACCATTTTGCACAGAGCACCAGCACAGCAGTCCCTCCATTTTCTAGCCTTCGGGCACCGTCCGTCACGTTAGCAACCCAATAAAACTCCAAGGCCTAGCCCAGCTGCCCAGGCGGCACCCCTCCTGCACTGTAGGGAGTCCTCCTAGTCTGGGGTGCCACCACGCTCCTGGCCATGCCGGAAGCACCTGAGATACAGCTCTCGCTCCTGCCCCCACCCGTGTTTCAAAGCAGCCACAGATACAAGGTTCTCGAAGCCACCAGGGTTTTCCTGGAGATCTGGGAATGGGCAGAAAACAACTCTGTGTCCCTAGAAGTGTTTCTGTGCCATTCCTGTCTCCATAGAGCGCAGCCTCCTGCTCTGCTTGAGGGGCTCCATCCTCATGTCCTTGCCACTCCCCGTTTTTCTCCCTTTCTGGGCCCGCATCCCCAGCTCCGCTGACCAGCCATCACCCCTCCGGCCTCTGGAGCTCTCGGGAACAAACGTCACTTCAGGCAGACCAGTTTGGCCCTCTCGTCTCTCCTTCCCCTGCGAGTGCTGGGTGATGGGGTCCATGTTCCTCGACTCTGGGTGCCCAGTGTGCACTGCTCGGCACAGGGAATACGATATCACCGGGGTCTACCTGCCTAGTCGTTTAGAGCAGTGCAGGCTGCCTGGCCCAGCCCCGAATCCTCACCCTGAGCAGCGGGAAGCCCAGTGTCCGGTTCTGCCTCGCCCACTCGCCAGCTTTTTGACCCTGGGATATTTAGCTTCTCCAGGTCTCTGTTTTCTCACGTGTGATGTGAAGGGGTTCAACCGAAACGGTGGACTTCAAACTGGGTCCTGTGGGACACCTGGATTCCAGAGAGAGATGGACAGAGCAAGGCAAGCGTGAAAGAAGGCACTGCTGGGGCGGGGCCCCGCTTCTCCCCAGACCGCTCCTGGCTCTGGTTATCGGCTACGCTTCTGCCGGAGATGGCATTTAGGCAGTTCCCACTGCTGACACGACAGCAACGACCGTTGATAGACACTGGCCTAGGTGTTGCTGAGGGTCTTTCCCCCTTGGCCAAGCTGGGCTTTGGCTTCTGTCTCACCGCAGCAAGTTCCCATGTAGGGCGAGATGGTGGCTCAGCAGTAATGCAGTGCCCACACTGTGGCCCCACATCGGAGGTCCCAGGTTCTCATCTCAGGCCTCCCTGGGCATGCTAGGTGCACACGTCTGTGATCTGGGCTGGCTGTGGCTGTGGAAGGATTGTGGAAGGAGGACCTTGTTGGGAGCTTATGTGCTTTCTCATAAAAGAAAGAATCTTTAAAATAATAATAATAATAATGCTCACGTAAGACAGAAAGCAAAAACAATTTTTTCTTCATAGATTTAGGGCTTTCTTTCTTTTTTAAATCACAGCTCTTTTTAATTTAATTTAATTTATTATTATTATTTTTTAAATTTTGCTGTAGGGTACACATGCTCACCCGAGAAAGAGAGAGAAAGCAAACAAGCTGCTAAGTCTGGGACTTGAACCATAGTCGATCATGTGGGAGTCCAGCCCCCTACCACACCACCACTGCTGGCCCCAGGACTTTCTTTTTGTTTCTGGAGTCGCTGATCACCTTTCACCGTCCCACCAAGACCAGGGTGCTCAAGTCTCTTCCCTTCACTTTTACCTCCTCATCCGGCGCATGAGGGCACGCGTCGCCCCTCTCTCTCCAGCTTTGAAGGAGAGACTGTGCTTGTCAGCTGGTGAATGCAAGCCCCAGGAGCAGAATGTGGCACCTGGAGGACACCCTCCAAACGGGGGCTGTGGTGGCCACGGGAGTCCCAGGAGACAGCAGCTGCCTCCCTGGGCATCGCGCCTGGCTCGTGGCTGGGGTTTGCCATCCCAGGGTGGAGACTGCTCAGTGACTGGGAGCAGCGTGCCGCAAGTCAGCTAATTAGCCTTCGTCTTCCCAGGAGACAGCTCAGTTGTGTAATTTTTATTTCTATATTTTACACACCCTCCATCTCCAAGAGAGAGAGGGGGCCGGGAGCCAATCTTCCTCAGCCTCATTGTTTGTTTGCATTCCAGCCGTGCCAGCTGCCCCTTCTCATCTTTCCACGGTTCCCACCTACAAAGGAGCATCCCTGCCACAGGCCGGCGGGGTGGGGAGGCAAGGGACAGCTTTTCACGTAGCTTTAGAGACCCAGCTCCAGGACCTGCACCCAGTGCCGTTGTCTGGCTGGATTTCCTGCCTGGCTCCAGGTCAGTGACTGTGCACCCCGGCCCCCAGCCCCCAGCCCCCATGGCCACCTGTTTGCAGGGAAGGTTGGATGGGCTGCAAAGAACCCAGCCACGAGGGGATGAACCTCCTTCACACTAAGCTAAGACAGTCTGCCTCGTGTCTTCTCTAGGCCCGGCCTCCATGGGGCTAGAGAGTCAAGTCTGTTCATTGAAGGGACCCCCTCATAAGAGATGACCCCCAAAACAGCTCCTTCTGGGCCCAGACTCCTCCCAGTCTGCCCCTCCTAGCCTCTCCTCCTAGCCATGTCCCAGGACTTCTGCCTTCTCGATCTTGCTGCAGACGATTCAGGGGCCTCTGCTCGGCTGCCAGGCTGTTGAGGCAAGCAAAGTCTTGACCCAGGCCTGGGGCTCTGGCTCAGCTCCTGGCTCAGCCTCCCCAGACAGGGGAGGTCCCTGGCATGCAGGATCCTGTACCCCTACCTGCCAGTGTAGCCGGGGGTGCTCGGCTGCCAAGAGGCTGTGCCTTGCAGCTGCGGGCGGAGACAGAGCCCAGAGTCTGGTCAGCGGTTGCCTGGGGGTTGGGAAATGTGCTGGCTCCGGCCTGGCTCCCTCCTCTGAGAGCTGGGAACCCGACCCAGCAGCCCAGTGTTTGTTTCTGCAACGTCTGGGCGGCCAAGCGAGTCAGGCCTGGCTGGCAGAGCCCGGCTGGGAAGAGCCCACGTTCCGCTCTCCCCTCAGTCCTCGTGCACAAACCGCCACCAGGGGAAGCAGGGGGTGTTTTGTTCAGGCCAGGACTGATGTGGGCCTCATATCTGTGCAGGGTCTGGGCATGGGGTGTCATGGAGCAGCCGGGCATGTCTGGCTTCTAAGTTTGGCCCCCAAGATACACCGGGAGGAGTCTTTGCTCAGAAGACAGACAGGCCTGACTTGGACTCCAAGCTCTGCTACTTTCCAGCTGTGTGACCCTGGGGAAGTCACTGAACTTCTCTGAGCAGTTTCTTTATCTCCACAATGGGGATGATTATAGCAAATTTAACAGGGTTGTCGTAGGTAGACTTACGGAAATAAGACACTGCCTGGCACATGGTAGATAGTTAACCAAAGCATATTCCTTTCTTTCTCCCATGGTGTTAGGGCCTCCTAACTTTGTCCTGCCTTCTCACCTGTGCCCACAGCGTGCAGAGGACCCGGAGCTCTGGCTTCTACACTGACCCCTGTCTGGGTTTGCTGCATGGGTTCCCCTACATTGTGCCTGCACTGCTGCCTCAGATGGTTCCCACAGTCCTCCTGTGTCCCCGTCATCCTCAGCACACACGTGGCTGGAGGTGGCCCTGTGTGTATGCAGAAGGAGCAGCCTGTTCACAGATTTCTGTGTTAACTGAGCACGGAACCACCCCTTTATTCATTCATTTGGAAGCATTTGCTCAACATCTGCTCTGGGAAAGGCCTCGTGTTCTGGACTCTGGGAACACAGAGATGAGTGAGACACAGCTCCAGGCCAGAGCCAGTATCTAGACAAGTAACTAAACAGCTAAAACCCCACGATGTGGACTGGGGAGGGTGCTCCATGGCGTAGATATGCACTGCTCAAGAGAAGCCAGAGTCCACACGGCAGCCAAGCTCGAACCCCAGTCCAGGCAGCCTGAAGCATGCCAAGCACATGTGCGAATGCCCAAGATCAGACAGGTGGGAGGGTGAGGGGAAAGGAAGCTCGGCACGACCAGACCCTGTGGAAGGTGCTGCTCTCCCCCTCCTTCTTTCTCTCTCTCTCACGTGCTTATGCTCTCTCATGAATTATGGAAATGCAATTTCATGGGTTATGTATATTGGTAAAAGAAAAGTACAAACTTGGGACCAGCAGGTATCATAACGGCTGTGTCGCTGGACTCCCATGTAGCCAACTATGGTTCAAGTCCTGGACCCAGTGTCTTAAAACTCATGCTGGGCACATGCGTGCATGCCCAAGATCCCAAAAGGAGAATGGAAGAGAAGAGATTGCGGCATGGCCATTTCCTCTAGGGGGTGATTTCCCACTTTCTGTCTTTCTCTGTCTTTCTGGCAAGTGCACACAGCCTATAGCAAAAATCTCTCTTAAAAAAATAGAAATAAAGAGAGAGAGAGATACAAACTTTAGAGATGAGGCTCCTAATTCAGGCTGGGAAATCAAGGTAGTCTTCCCAGAAGAGGTGGTGCTAGAGTGTTGAGAGATGATTAGAAATTGTCTAAGTAAAATAAAGGGAAAATTGGGGACAGAGAATGCAATATGCAAGTTCTATTGGCTCCAAAAACTGCCATGTATTTTTTAGAATATGATAAAACACTGTAACAAGTGTCCCCAGAACCACTGTAATAGATGTCCCTAACACCACTGTCACTGATGTCGCCAAGATTTCAGTCCTTTCATACAGTCAGAGCGTGGCTGTCACTCACACAGAGGTCCAGCTCTGGTGTTCCTAATCAGATGACTCTGTTCCATGAGATGGTTCAGGGACCCAGGGGCCTTGCATCTTGCGACTCTGCCGTCCTTTAGAACCTCTAAGCACATCACATGACATGTAGCTATGTCCCCAGAAGGAAAGGAAATGGCTTTTGATCACTACATAATAGTAGCTCTGTCACTATGTAGCCAACTATGGTTCAAGTCCTGGACCCAGTGTCTTAAAACTCATGCTGGGCACATGCGTGCATGCCCAAGATCCCAAAAGGAGAATGGAAGAGAAGAGATTGCGGCATGGCCATTTCCTCTAGGGGGTGATTTCCCACTTTCTGTCTTTCTCTGTCTTTCTGGCAAGTGCACACAGCCTATAGCAAAAATCTCTCTTAAAAAAATAGAAATAAAGAGAGAGAGAGATACAAACTTTAGAGATGAGGCTCCTAATTCAGGCTGGGAAATCAAGGTAGTCTTCCCAGAAGAGGTGGTGCTAGAGTGTTGAGAGATGATTAGAAATTGTCTAAGTAAAATAAAGGGAAAATTGGGGACAGAGAATGCAATATGCAAGTTCTATTGGCTCCAAAAACTGCCATGTATTTTTTAGAATATGATAAAACACTGTAACAAGTGTCCCCAGAACCACTGTAATAGATGTCCCTAACACCACTGTCACTGATGTCGCCAAGATTTCAGTCCTTTCATACAGTCAGAGCGTGGCTGTCACTCACACAGAGGTCCAGCTCTGGTGTTCCTAATCAGATGACTCTGTTCCATGAGATGGTTCAGGGACCCAGGGGCCTTGCATCTTGCGACTCTGCCGTCCTTTAGAACCTCTAAGCACATCACATGACATGTAGCTATGTCCCCAGAAGGAAAGGAAATGGCTTTTGATCACTACATAATAGTAGCTCTGTCACTTTTGTAAAGAACTTCTAGGAGCTGGGGAAAAGTAGAATACAAGTTATGTGACAGGGAGGGATGCAAGAAGTGGGTGGACTGGAAGGCTCCATTATCAAAGCTAGGGGGTTCGCGCTTGACCCTGAAAGGAGTGCTGCAGCATCAGAACTTCATTTGTTTGTTTTTAGATAGATTTTTTTGCTATAGGGCACATGCACTTGCCAGAGAGAAAGAGAGAGAGAAAGTGAGAAATCACCCCTCAGGGGATGGCCACATTGTAATCCCTTCTCCTCCATTCTTCTC